TTTGTTAGAAATCAATAACCACGTATTTTCACAAATAATACGTTCGTACAAAACAGTCTGTTACTCGTTGAAAAAAGAAGAATATAAAAATATGCGTCAAAGATGTAAAATATCTTTAGAAAATTTTATTTATGAGGAAAATAGATTTCAAAATTAATATCAGTTGCATAAAATTATCACGCTACTAAAATTATAAATTTGTTTTTACTAATTTGTCTCTATCAAAATATGAATGATCATACTGTATTTAAAAGATTAAAATAATTTTGATATTTTATGTAACTTACTGAGCAATTCAAATAATTTTTTCATTATTCCTAAATGTCAAAATGTTCTTGTTTATATTATCGTAATGCTCTATTGGATGATTTATATACGTCAAGATAACTAAAATAAAAACTTAAAGTTGATAAAAATTTATCAACTTTAAACATACTGTAACTTAATCGGTAAAAATGAAGTAGATTGAATCTCAGTATTTGAACACCAATCTTCGTAATCGCATATCATAATCTCAAATCTTCCATCTGTAATCTGTTGCACGTTTAATAAACTACGAGTGATAAAATTGCATATTTGAAGTTTTTGTGAAATATTTTTTACTCTAAAATAACGCGTATTTTATTCTATGCGAATAAATAGCAATTATTGATCAATAAATATAAAAGCCTATGGTAGTTTATATTTCAAAAATTATTTTTACTAGATGTGAATCTTTAATAAATTGTAAAAAAATGGCCAAGTGAAAAACGCATCTGTATATGTCGCGTAGAGAATAGCAATAGCGACGAAAAAGTAGAACAGTAAAATCCTCCATCTGCAAAGCGAGTTTTGTTGCGAGTATCACGCTATTTTTTCCACGTATCTTGCATCGTATTGATCGTTGCAATTGTAAACAGCGCGATCTTGCATCGTCACGTTCAATCAAATCGTGCGTTGAAATTTATTTTTGGCGAAATTTTCGGTTTCTTCTTTTTTTTTTCTCCTCTCTCAAAAGTTCTCGTGACGTAAATCTTGCGTGTTTACTGAAAACTTCCGGCGAAAAGCAGACCTACTTTGCGTATGATTTATTCGCCATCGTGCACATGGTTGCAGCGGATGAGTTTTTAATGGCGCATAATACGGAAGTAAAAATTGCTGGCTTTCGTGGACGGGAATTAGACCTCGCGTGAGAGAAGTGAGAAGACGGCGCATCAGTTTTCCATCACGAATCGAGGGGTATTACGTTGGAAAATAAATTCCCTTTCGCTCAGGAAGTAGAATGATAAGGTATCGTGATATCCTAAGGAGACGCTAGTTACTTCCACGAAGACTCGTCGATACGTCTTCCTGAGAACTTTAGAAGTTCCACTGGTTGATTACCCCGGAAGATCTCGGTAACATTCGAATCTCATACTACGTATGTCACTGCCATGTACACGATAGACTCGCTTTCGATACTAATCTTCGTATCCGTTACTCACATTTAACATGGATGTAAACATCTAATCCTAATTATCTGTTTCCTTGTAAGAAATTCGCACATTACTTTGATTTAAATAACCACAATTATCAAAAGTGTATATAAATAGATCATCAAAGAAGAAATAGTGATATTCAAACAAAGCAGCATTTTATAATTATTTTTTATGTTTTAATCATATTTGTACGTTATACATAGCGATTTCATTTTTTAAAACTCAATATTAATAACGATCTTTACACATTTTTATATGTATGAATACAACGTTTATTCATGAATATTTTCATATTAGAATATTTATATCTTTTTGTATTTACAGTCTTGTAACAGCAGTGAAACAGCAGTGCTTTATCTCAGCATGTATAGAGTATGTATATATTTTGAGTCTTCGAAGTTTTAATAATTAGTACTTGACAATTGAAATACTTTTATATATTCGTTTATAATAGATAGATGCCATATAATTTGTCTGCTTTTCATTTATTTTACGTCATAATTCGCTCGCATAAAGCAAAAATTCAACCATAAATGAATGCATCCGAACAAAGATATATCCTCGTCGTCTTGATGCCAGTTACCGAGTTTCTCTGCACCTGCAGCAATCCCGTCATCTGTTTGAGATCGGAAGAAAGGAAGAGAAAGAGAGCAGGAGAGAAAGGGAAAGGAGAAAAGGAGGAAAAAGATATACGAGCAGATAAATCACGCCCTCGTGCCACTTTTTCTTTTTTTTTTTCTTCCTTTTGCAATATCCACCGCCCACCTTGGTCGTCGTTCCACCATGACGATGCGTTTCCACGACGTGCCATTATTAAGACGCAGGGCGCCGCGACGCGACGTCTTGCTGCGTTCGCTCTACATATATAAGCACCGCTTTCAAGAGCGCCGCATCAAAAACTTATTCGATCGGTAATTTTAATTATATCCAGCGAAAAGCACTCACCCGCCAAACTCGCTAATTATTTCCTTTTTTCGATTTCTCGTTTATACGCCATGAATTAACTACGACCACTAACTGCCACGGGAAATCTTTGCCTTCCAAGTTGAATGAATCCGAACGAAACAAATCAAACTTCACAATCAAAATTGTGATTTAAAAAACATTCTTACAATACTTTCAGAGAGAAAGAAATAATTTTATAAATCGCTTTTAACGCTTTTACTCGCGTATTTTGTGCGATGAAAATTGTTCAACAAGTTGTTGTTTCAACCAATATTAGAAATGTCTGACGCGTTCTTCAGAAGTTTGAGTATCTTCAATAAAAAAATAGTTAAGGAAAGAACACTGATAGTACGATATCAAGCCGATCATTCATGTTTACATAGAGAAATAAATCCAAGAAAAAACAAGTGGAAACATGATACAAACTATCTAAATGATTCTAATAATTATTATTACTACTACGCACTTACATTACATCATTACGTAATTAATGACAATTACGGATATGATACTAAATGGGCGAAAATGATTATCGGAATAAAGTATAATGAAAAGTCTATGTATAACTTCAAATTTATCTAAGACAAAAAATAATTACTATTATTAATTTCAATATTCTAAAAATAAATTACGAGAGAGAGAGAGAGAGAGAGATATTGTTTAGGACAAATTTTGTTGTCTAAAAGAAAAAATGTTAATGCACAGAAAAATTGTAAAACATCTTTGAAAAAAAAAAACATTTTTTATTTTAGAATAGTTAGCGCATTTTCCAGATTTGAATATTATTGCAGATTGTTACGGAATATTAACACAAATTGTATTTTGGTGAAAAGCAATTTCAAGCCATTAATGAATCAAAGACGCGCGAGATAAAATGGGTAACATTAGAATAAAAAGAAATTCTAGAGAGACTTTATAAATTACTGCCAGAGCGAATAATTGAGGTACTTGAGAACAAGGGAAAAAATTATTAAAGAATAGAGTTTCCGCATTTTCTCTTTTATACTTTTGATAATTTTTCTACTGTATTATTTCTGTCCTTTCAATGTATAAATTCCTTTTATTTAAATGTATACACTTCAACTGTGCAAAGTGTAATGTATGTACATATATATGCGCTTTCCTTTTTTGCCTCAAATTTTACATCTCACTTGTCTGTCATATTTAAAAAAATATATTTATTTAAGAAACTAGAAGCTGATATGTTATCTTTTTATGAAAGAATTATTAATTTTTGAAATATATTTTTGTTCACTTACACACAGTAGCTATTCTGTTCTTCTTTTCTTCTTTTGTATTATATCATAACTTTGCGAAGTAATCCTTATTACTTAACTGTACACAATGTCTACCAAATTTAACTGATCGACAAAATAAAGTATCATGAAACGTAACTATTAGTTATTGCCACGTTACGATATTTTGCAACTCGATATAAAGGTTCCTAGTCTGGCACGTATGCACAACGAAAGCGTTATGTAATTTGAAAGCCATGCGCCGGAATTGCATGAAACTTTCAGGAAATGTTAGCAATACCGTTACGGATATAACGATGCCATTGCGGTAACCCTGGGGCGTCTCATTCCCGTATATATTCTACAAACACGAAGGGTTAAATGTGGTTTACCAATTGCGCGGTTAAATTCCTGGATACGTTTTCGAATCTCTCTGAGAAAATTACCTGTCGAAGTCAATCGTTCGTTCTTCTACACATTAACAGATTCGTTCGCAATATCGCTTGATTTTATACGATACGTTGTCGACGTCGAAAAGTATACAAGGGTCATTAATTGCATGTCAATATTTCATTTTAAATCTAGAGCATAAAATAAATTTTTTATATCGTATTGTACCATATAGATTATTTTATTCTTTAATTTGTGACAAACAATAGAAAATGTTCGAAGCGTTTCGCTATCGATAAAAAGTAAATATTCTATGTGATACAAAAATTATTCGATTATTTTTTATTATTAATAGTATAATAAAAAAAGATTATGAATGTGCGTATGTGTGTGTATGTGTGCGCGTGAAATAGTATAAATCTTTTCTTAAAGCGACATTTTCAAATGACAAGTTCGAAAATTGACATATCTCTTATATTTTAATTGAAATATCTCATTTATATTTACATGCTTTCTAAATACATTGTACTATACAATCTATTCATTCATTTCTTTTCACTATCCATCAAAATGTGAACAAAAACACAATATTTTATTAAAAAAAAATATAATCTTCATACTTTAGAAAAAGTTTATTTAACTTTATACCTTTAACAACTTCAATAACTTTCTATTTTTCCAATAGAATCTTTTTTACTCGTACTTTGATAAATCATCTACTGCAATGCACTTGATTCTGATTAATGATGTACAAAATTTATGTAATCAAAAGTTATTCAAAACGGCTATACTATTAACCATTACCCAATTTAAAAATTATTTTCTTTAAAATCAAAACTTGCATAAGAAATCATTACAATATATACAAAGCATAGAGAGAATTATATTTTCGTCTTGACACCTCTCTCAATTTATTCATTAAAGTTTCGACAATTAAGAGTCAACCTGTGTGTTTTGAAACTTATGAGCTTACCTTGATCGTGAATTGTCTGCAGAGCGGTTTGTAGGCGTTTGTACCGCAAACGAGAAAGCGATCAGGGCCTTGCCTGCCGAACACTCGCACATAGTTCTGGCACTCGTCGTCGCTGCGGCCCTTCAAGTAACAAAGCTCGCGATGTGCCACAGTGCTGGACCATTGCAATCTCTGAAACAGGTAAGATCGAGCAAACATTACTACCTCGGGTCCTGGCTGACTTTGCGTCACGTATACCGCAAAGTACGCAAGTTTGTATAACAAAAGCCGATTAGAGGTCAGCCCAAGATTAATACTCTTGCATGAAAATTGAGTCTTAACGGATCTCAATCCCCTTGCTTTCAATAAGAGAGAAGGAGACACCGATTCGGAGAATATCACCACTATCTCATGCTTTCGCGCGAGGCAGAGACTCGTTTTAATAATTCCCCCGTATCGCATTAATTTTGCGAGTTACGCGCTTCGTTCGGCAGATTTAGAGCCGGATCTGCGAAAAATGTAAAGTCGTCTTAACGTTAAAGTCGACTTTAAGGTATAATTTATATCGCGTGAGCTGTACGTGTTAGAGAATTAAATGTAATGCGACGTTAAATCTTTTTGAATTCTCGCAATCTCGGTGGAATAAATGAGTAGCGTCGCGAATGGTTGAGTTTTAATCCGATGACAACATTCTCGTGATAATAACGATATACTTGGGAGGCTCTTTGTCATCGATTACTATTCCGACTAAGAGAATAATATATTGTATTATTGATCCTTGCATTGATACAGAGATGAATAATAAATCCGTCTAAAACGGTAAGGCAGTTATATTTCTGAGATTCAATCTGTATCATTTCAATCATATATTTTCATTTTATATACGAATACATTCTTAGATAGAATAAATGAAATTTATAAACACTTTGTACAATAAACTATGATTATATTCGAAAAGATAAAGAGCTTGAGATAATCGGATTTTTGGATTTTAGTTGAATTGTAAAACAAATGTTAGTAGATATAAAATTTTGTATGTGCTCTCTCAGATAAAATTCAAATTTTAAAGAAAATAAATACACAAATTCTTGAGATTAATTTAACGATTACATATGTTTCTAAACAGTAATATATCTATACAGTATGACCTCGATATATATACTTTTCTCACATTTTATATTAATTTAATTTATTCTTATGATTTTTGAAATTTTCTTTATTAGTAAATAATTTTCGAATATATTTACATATTATACTTGTTTATTAGTAAAACATTTTTAAATATATTTAGATATTGCTTTATTAAAAAGAACATTTTTAGAGCAGTCGTCTTTCTATATTAACTTAATTAGTAACTCTTGCAGAAAATTTAGGAAAAGATTATACCATGATATTATCTAATTTGGTTTTAATTTTTGGTCTGCAATTCTTGCTTGTTTGTTCATATTATCCATCAAGAAAAATAATTTATTAACTTTTTCATATATTAATTCTAGCAACTCTGTGTCAAATATCTTATTATTAGTATATTGATTTATTTTCAATGGTTTCTATCGTTGAATAGACCAGAGACTCTAGGCTTAGATATAAGCTTATTCATTTTAATCAGTAGTTGATCCATCTTATCATGTAATTCAATAATTTTCTTAGATATTAATTTTTGTAGCTTTTTTTTTGTATGTCAGGTATCTTAGTACACTTGGTTGTTTTTAATGATTTCTGTCGTTGAATAGATGGATCAGAAACTCTAGTAGACATAAGCTTATCTTCTTCTTCAGATCCATAACATTTGATGAGGGTTGTTTACCATCAACCTTATCTTTAATCAGTTGATGCATCTTGACATGTAATTCAACAACTTTCTCATGTAATACTTTTTATAGCTCTTCTTGTGTGTTAGGTATCTCAGTATGCTCAGTTTTCATCGTTTCTGTCGTTGAGAAAATAAACCAGGAATTCTGGTAGGTCTATTTTCTTCTTCAGACCTGTAAGAAACATCTGATGAAAGTTGTCCACTATCAGTCATCATGTCTTTAATCAATTGATTTATAATATAATAGGAACCTGTGATTTATATAGATGAATTACTTCCTGATAATGTTATGATATATTATAATTAAATATATACGTAGGGACTGAAAATATTGCTACACACCAGAATATAAACGATAACACAACTCCCAAAATGCTGATTTAATTATTGTAGAATAATTAATAACTAGTAAAATAAATTTATTACATCGATCTGAATAAATATATGGAATACTTTTAAAACAATTATGTTTTATTGTTGCGTTTCTTAATTAATATTATATGTATAATATATTTCTGTGCGATTTAGTTACGTCGAGCTATGAGTATCGGTTTCAGATACGTTATGCAGATTTTTCTGTTTCTAACAAAATGATACACTATTTACGGCTATGAGATATTTCTAACGAATCTTTAAGTTGTTACCAGGGCAACCATCAAATATAGATAGCTAGTGCACGAGCTATTCAATTACAAAAGTAATGGAACGTTTATGTAACTGAATTAAGCCTGGAACACCAACTATCAGTAACGCTTCATTATATACGTTAGAAAAAAATATATTTATTTGATAAATAATTAATTTCAAGTACTACATACATATACAATCGATTTTAAAGAAAAATTCATTGACATCGGATGAGACAAATTGATTTAAAATTTAATTATTGTATTACTATCATAATGTGTATTACTGTGTAACTTTTTGCACGTAAAAAATTAGACTGAAAAAAATTAATATGCATTAATACACAGCAAAAAATATACTTAATCAACTTACTTAAAATTAAATAAAAATTATATATAAGGATATCATTGTAATAAAACATAAACTTTCTTTGTCTCTTACAAACGCATAGAATGTTGACCAATAAAAACAAATAATTTTGATTTAACCAACTAAACAATCACTAATACAAATAATTATTAATTTTCTGTATAAAAAATATTTAATTAACGTGTAAATTATTTTCGCGCAACCATTATGTGAAGAGCGCAGATTATTTAACAGAAAAGAAAAATGTGACAGTAGATATGATTCGGAAAAGAATAGAAAATAGAGCACTGAATTATTTAAAGGAAAGAATCAATGGGAAAAGCTAGGTTATACACAATTCTAATTATATATTATATATTATTCAGTTTAAAAAATCAAATGTTGCTTATCGTGACTCTCGGTCTCCTTGTTTAAACCGACCGTTTCATGGTCTCAAGCCAACGTTGAGAGACACGGAGTGTACGCGAAACAACAAGAAGGTGAGGATTGGCGAGAAGGTAAAATAGGTAGGGAAGGTAGGTTACGACAGGAGCTACAGCTGCATACTGCCGAGCAGAAATCCTTGAACAAGCTATATTCAGCTCCTTCGCCAGCGCTACGTTATATCTTTACGACGTCTCATGGTCGATCGGGAAATTCCAGTTTCCTCGATAATTTCGGCTGGTCACGCCTCAACGAAACGTGCACGTTTAAGCCGCGTATTCTCACAAAGAATTTCCTCCCGTCGATGCTTCTTTTTTAGAAAGTGAACTTTCCGCTGACCTATCTTTACTTTATCTCTCGATTGATAAGTTATATTAACGGAAATGCATTTTTCACATAGCCGGAATATCTAAGAGGCATATTGCCGATGATGTTCGAAGGATTTTTAATGTTCATGAGATTACTTTGAAAACATTCTAGTTTTTTTTAAATATTTCATTTCAAATATCTTTCCAATTATCATTCCAATTATCGATGATTTAATTTTATCATATTGTATATATGATTTTTTTTATGCCAATGGATTGTGATAGATTTTATCGAATATAACGAATTAGATAGTAATTCGAAGCGATAGCTCGATCAGGAAATTGGGTAACGAGGGTACATTTAGCACGATAGAGAAATCGAATTATGATCCGGGGAGGCAAATTATCTTCGAACGCTTGCCGTTATTCAAATGGATAAAATCCTAAATCTAATTTCGCTTAATCAATAAAATTCCTAAAATAACGAAATACGTAAATAAAATAAGATAAATTATTATTTTCTTTTTTTATCATTTCTATATACATAATAGTTCTAAAAGATCAAAAATAACAATATAAAATATGTACATTAAAGATAAACCAAAATATCTGTTTCTGTAAATAAGAAATTGTAAAAAAGTACAATAAAAGGTATAATTCTTCATAAAAAATAGAACAAAAAATATTTTTATGTAAAATCATATTTAAAAAAATAATTTTGAAACATTAATAATATATTGATGGTTTTTTAAGCTTGAATATCTAAATGTTAACAAAATTATTTGTTATACATCAAATTTCAATAGCAATAATCAAAATGTAAACAAAGAAATATAAAACAATTCACAATAGAAAATAGTTGTTTTATGAAATTATTTTTGTTTCATATTTTTACTTTAAATCTTTAAAGGCTTTTGCTTTGAATTTTGTTCTAAAACAGAATTGAATTCAATTTTATTTTTACGACGTTTTAGACTATAATCAACTGAAAAAATGTTTGGAATTGTGTGGAAGGAATGCAATTTTTTGAATAGAAATGTTTCAGTAAACATACGTTTGAAATGATTCAAAAAATTGTTGCTAAAAAACGTTATACATATCGAGCTACTGTCGTGTGATTACACTTTATGTCATAATCTCTTTTTGCAAATATCGAAAATCCATCAATTAACTTTTCTCGAACCATCGTACCAATATCAAGATAAATTGAGTGTCCAATACTGCCGTTGCTTTTTAAAGAATCGACTAATTCGCAACATAAATTAATCGCCATCCGCTATGCGATTCTTAATTAATTTCTAGATCCTAATGATTTCTTGCCGCAGCACCCGGTAACGCGGCAAAGGAACCAATTAAGAAGCCGAACGGTATTTCGGGTACGGATGTGATTTAGGGAACAGCCGCGTGATGTATTCCGCTTTTTGTCCTAATTAGAATACGTCTCTGCGAATCATCCGGCCGTCGCCGTCGACGTCAGTTTTAGGACTACGGTGCGAGCGGAAGCAGAAACAGCACGGCGAGTTACAACCGACTGAAAACTTTCAACCGCAAAATCGCCCTGCATATTCATCGAGTAATATGATTTCGCCCGTTTCGAGCCTGCCAGTGGTGGCCGATTTTACGCTTTAACCCGCGAATAAATTCGACTTCGG